GAAGTGTTTCTTTGACCGGTGCCTCCCGGCAAATTGTGTGAGGAAGCGGTGGGCAAGCTCTTGCCATGAATCAATGCTGCCTTCGGGCAATCGGTTGAACCATTCATACATTGGTCCCTCCAAGGATGAAAGGAACCAACAACATAAATATTCATCTGAGGCCCCCATCATCATCATGCTGTTTTGACACCTACTGTAATGTTCTTGGGGATCCGTCTTCCCCTCATACGGTTTGATGGGTTGCCCTCGGTACTTGTCGGGGATCTGAGCTGTCAGCACCCTTGGGGTGAAGGGGGTCTTCGTGCGGAGTTGGATGAGGGGTTCACCTGAGCGTTCGGCGAACTTGCGCTTCATCTCCTCCATTTGTGCTAGTAGGCGGTGTACTTTGGATCTGCCTCCAAAGTCGAAGCGGGGGGCGTTTGGCGTGCCTCCTTCTCTTCCAGATGGCGACGGAGGGCCTCGATGATTTCATCTTTGTGATCCCTCGGGGTTGCCCCTTGGGATTTCGCCCTAAATGATTGGGCGTGGTTGATCTGGTGCCTGGCATCATTGGCGTGGAGGAGGCCTTTGCCTTTATCCCGAGGGGGAGCCTCCACTCTCCTAAGGTTTGCTGATTGCCTTGCCACCGAGGCGATTTTGGACCCCTCGGGGCTTCCCCCGATCTCTCGAGGGCAGAGGTTCGGGGCTTCTCCTTATTCGCGTAACGTTTATCCTTGGATTGAGCCTTTTGGGAGGCGGTGTCTTGCGCCATGACCCCCTCAGCGTTGCCAACCCGCAGGGTGGGATTGTTGAACAGAGGAGGGGGGTGGCGGAAAATGGACAGCATTTCCTCCGAAATAGGGTTAGAGGGGTGCCTGTGAAATGAAGGCACCGGAATTCATCGCCATGTTTTGGACGAAGGCCATAAAGGCGGCCTGAAGGTCGATGCTTGGAGCCGAAGGGGGAACTTGGTTCTCACTTCGGTTCTTCCTTCGGCTATCAAGGCTGATGCGGGCATCCGGGGCAGCCTTCTGCAGCTACTGACGGAGGTCAGTAGCGGCCTGCTCCAACTCGAGGATGGTACCGCCTTCGGGTACCAAGAGCCTGTTGGAGGCCTCGGCCCCGTTGGTTTCACCGGGGGCTACGTGGTTTTCCTCGAGGGTTTTGGACTGACCACGAGTTCTTCCCATTTTCGTAGGTGTTTTTGTGTTTGTTGAAGGGGAGGGTTTCTTACTTGATTGTTCGGACCTCTCAACGAGAGCACCAAATGATGGACAGTGTACCCGGGGGTAGCTTATCCGAGGGGTTATAGTGGGAATAACCTAGAGAGAAGTCAGAGCAAACAAGTAAGAGAGAGAGAGGCGGTTGTATTAATGAACTCGAGATGTTCCGGTCTCCCTCCTATACAAGAGGAATAAAGGGTGCTATTTATAGCAGCCATAAATGCGATGAGAATACACGTGTCAGTAATCTAACGGCCGAGGGGTCACCTCAATCGGGGTGGCACCGGCACTCGCATGTGCGCCGCATTAAATGCGGTGGGTGGATGTGTCGCCGCATTAAATGCAGTGGTTGCTTGCCTCCAAAGGGAATCTTCGATGATTGAGTTGTTTAGCCGAAGGCTCTCCCTGCGGCAGAGGGCTCTGTGTAGCCGAAGGTTTGGTTCAGCCGAAGGCTCCCCTGATGCCGAGGGCACGAAAGTGCCGAAGGCTCCAGATTTTCTGCCGTGGAGCCTTCTGCCATATTGCCGAAGGATGCCTTGGGCGCACCTTGGGCTCCTTTGAGCTTGGGCCGCTGTGTTTTGGGCCTCTTGTGCTTCTTGGGCCTGTTGGGCCCGTGCTAGAGTAGTAGGAGTCTGTGGGCCGGGGGTTCCCGGGTCATATACTCCATCACAATCCATTTAAATTCCAATCAACAAAATAGATGAGTTATAAATCTTCAAAAATAATAGATATTGTTACAAATAATTTTCTTTAACAAATAGATTTTCTCAAATCTGATTTCATTTAACATTCATAAATGATACAATCGGAATTGTATAAAATGCACCGAACATTAATCAAATGGATTGTTACACCAATTCAAAGATGAAACAATCTTCCTTTGCCTAACAACAAAAATCTAGCTACAATAATATACTGAGGTCATTATAAACAAAATCCACATATGTAACCCTTAACAGGGCATGCTTAAAGTTCTCAAATAGGACTCTTGATTATTACTTTTTAACCCCTAATATAACTAAAATCCCAAAACCCGGAATGGATTACCCAGACCAAGAGTTGGGGCATGCTAGCATTGTACTCCATAGTCACAAAGACGTGCAAGGTAACCTCCTCCTGTTCCACCTCATTTTTTGGTCATGAAATTAATATGACTAAACATAATCAATAAGGCTAAAATACACTTTTATATTTTAAATGTCCTAAACAAACAAAAATGTTCACTACTATCGTCCAGTTAGATATACATTGTTGGGTTGCATGGATGCGGTGCTAGCAGTTTTGTCAGCCTACTAGTGCAATCGAAACGTGACGTTTTGTCTGTTCTGTAAGGGGGGGAGGCGTGCTACACTATTAGTGATTGCTTTTAGTGTAGCGGTAAGAGATTAGTACTGCTCTTGTTGACATAACTACACTTCCCATCATGGCACTGCCCTTCCCATTAATGTTAGTTCTCTTCCCACCTACATTATTGCTGTTCACCGACAACGCTCTCTCCTTACCTTTCTTCTTATGTCACTACTCATTGTGATTAAACAACAAAAAGAAGAAAAGGGGGGGGGGTCAAGACGCTAGAACATTGCGACACTATCAGATGTCTTTGATTCACTACGGCCACCCTCCTCAATGCATTCATTCATGGCGCACCTCGGAAAGGACAACTTTACTCAAGTATGTGGGGACAACAAGTGACATAACCCCTTTACTGGATGTGATTCCGGGTGACATTTTCCCATATGTTTACCACTGCCTCCAAAGACTAATGTGAGAAGGTGCCCATCCGACCTTCCATCCCCGTGTTTCATAATTCTTTTTGTGGAATCGTTCTAGTCGTAATCCAGATGACTTTGAGTTTGTTTCATTCTATTAGGCCGTCATTGAACTTACCGCTACACCAAAAGCAATCGTTGATAGTGTATCACACCCCTCCCCTTTATAGAACATGCAAAACGACACGTTTCGATTGCACTGGAAGGTTGGCAAACTGCTGGCACCGCATACTAGCGATCCAACAACCCCCCCAGCATCTGTTAGCCTACAACTGAGCAACATACTGTTGCCGGGTGTCGAACTTGTGACCTTTGGCTCTGATACTACTTGTGGATCATTGCGCTTACCGCTACACCAAAAGTAATCGCTGATAGTGTAGCACCCACTTTTCCCTTTATAGAACAGGAAAAACTCCGCGTTTCGATTGCACCCGCAGGCTAGCAAACTGTTGGCACTGCATACCAGCGGCCTAACATAAGTTATTCGAGCATGTTGTATCCTGATTCAATCATTGAATCAGGAAGTGGCAAAGCAAGTGAGTGTGGGTACTTTGTCCCATTGCATCTGATGGAGTATATGGCCCAGGGACCCCCGGCCCACAGACTCATACTTCTCCAGCACAGGCCCATCAAGCCCAATGGGCACACAAAACCCAAACATGGCGGCCCAAGTATGAAGAGGCCCACAGTGCACATATAGGCTCCAAATTCCCTGGGGCGGCTAGATTTAAGCATACGAAGCTACTGGGAGAAAATGACAGAAAATATGAGCCTTCGGCTTCTAGGCGCCCTCGACACATGGGCAGCCTTCGGCCACACAGAGCCTTCGGCCACAGGGTAGGCCTTCGGCAACAGCACGCTCAGCGAAGATTCCTTTTAGAGATAGGCAACCACCGCATTCAATGCGGCATCACGTCCAACCACCGCATTTAATGTGGTGCACATGCAAATGTCAGTGCCACCCCGATTGAGGTGACTCTCGGCCGTCATATGTTTGACACGTGTACTCGCCTAGCATTTATGGCTACTATAAATAGCAGCCCTTATTCTCCTTGTAAAGCATCTCGAGTTCATTTAATACATTTGACTCTCCCTCTTACTTGCTTGCTCTGATTTCTCTCTAAGTTATTTCACGTAATAACCCTTCGGATAAGCTACCCCCAGGTACACTATCCATCAGCATCTCCTATCACTTTCACCTAGGGTACATGGGTGCACAAGTATCAACCTATTTCATTCACTTCCGATCTCGAGGAAGATATGTATTAGTACTTTGTTTTAGGGGAATCCCTTCCCTGTTAGCTCATATATGTGTGCGGGTACATCGATTATGTGCCCCTGGTGGTTATGCCGTACGCGTATTACTTTAAACCATTGTAGAACCCATTATGTCCATTCCCAAAAAGTTTGATACTTTCAAACTTTCAAGTTTCAATGATCACCTGAGAATATGTAGAAAGCAGTGAGGTTTTTAAAAGATCACCAATAGCATTATAAAGGGCCTATCATGGTCATTGTATAAGCTAAGGGATGTTAATGCAGTGGGTAATGTAGGAAGCTGTGGAGTCTCTAAGCATACACATACGATAAAGAAAATCTTTAATTTCTCTAGAAGCCATATTGATTTTCGGGTGATGAATAAGGGATTTGATCCAACAACCATGCTTAATAGAGGTTTTTATTGCGGATGCATGGTGCAAAAATTAAAGGGGGGATTGTTGTTTAACAATGAAATAAGACGTGCTACTCTATTAACTTCTTAAGTTGTGATATGATACTTCATCCTATAAAGAATTAAAGATGTCTATTTAAATAATTTCAATTATATAACCAAAATAAAAGTAGTGAACAAAAAATGTGACCCTATTAATTTTAGTGACTATAATTATATTTACTATCAGAAAAAAACTTATTTTTAAACCCATTATATAATAGATGTATGTTAATAATAAGTGAATTACTCATTAACAAGTGACCCAAAAATAACTTCAAACTAGTAATTTTACTCAATTCAAATTATGTATTCATCACACAAAGTAAACTAATTGTTTATAAAACCACTTAATCATGACACAAATGTTAACCTCGCTTTTGATATACTCCGTAATATTCTTCCTATAAAGATGTCTTATTGCCCTTGGCCGAGAGACTCAAAACTACAATGCGAAGTCGTATTGATGGTCATAGACTCATAATATGAACAAAACGCTTTACATAAGTGAAAATTTACATGTCTAAGATTTTTTTCACTCCTCATGTTGGAAGTGTCTACTTAGTGATGCCAAATTTGGAAAGGAAGGCGACTGCTTGATCACCACCTAGCAAGAAGTAAGGATGCCTCAAAGCAGCCGAAGCAGACAGCCGTCCTCTTCTCAGCGGACCCCTCTCCGAAATGAGCTTAGTGGCAAGATCCCACCCTCTTCCGGAGTCTAGATCAAGAATGCTTAAATCATGCCTTGACCTGCTCCTTTCCCTCCACGTGTTTAACTCGTATCCCGCTTGTCTCAACTCCATATTGAACCTTTTCAGACCTGTCGGGGACCTGAAGCTCGGTATAGCCATTTGCAGGAGAACTATCCCAGCAGAATACATGTCAAAAAGGTCTGGACTGTTCAGCTGCAAATAAACAAATAAACAGAATAATCAGTTTTAGCTAAAATAAACTCAATTATATACCATTGCTCCACCCCCTACCCCACTATAACTTTTAAATTTAAATAAGCCAAATAAACCCAAGAGCACATCAGGTTTGGAGCTTGAGTCTCTAACCTTACAACTTGCCATAAGGGTAGGAAGTACTAACTTATAAAATTTGTGATACATGTAAATTATTATATGGTGGGTAGTTATGACTAATGAGTAATATCTTGATACCGATAAAGAATAAAAATGCCCCTCAACTTTTTTTTGAAACAATTACAACAACAACAACAACAACATTACCCTGGTGCCGCAAAGGCTACCAACAACAATTAAATACAAAAAAAACTTAAGTTAAAATAAATATACTCTTGAACTATAAAATACTCCCACCGTCCCACTCAGATTGTCCCATCTTTTCTTTTTGGTCCGTCCTACTAAGATTGTCTTGGAAAGTTTGTGTGACTCTAAATCATTCTTACTTTATTCAATTGAATATCAATCACATGAACTCACTTTTCTTAATAATCGCATCACCTCCTCATATCCCAATGTTAGTGGGACGGAGATAATAGATAACATATACTACGTAGTACGTACTATGTATATACTCTCAACTATTGGACATAAAGGGTATGCATATATATGTCTTCTATTATATGGTTCAAATGTATATTTGTTTCAACTTCCAACTTTACCATTATGTGTTTAATTATTCCAAAAGAAAGTTGAAAAGCATATTTATTCGCTGACAGTTAAGTTGGAGGAGCAACTCACAGTCTTATAGGTTTATTTTAAATTTCATATTTAGCAAATAAATTCTATTACCCCACATTCTTTGGCCGCATCCACCATCTCACAACCATAGAATGAGACATCTCATCTAGATCCATAGATCGTATGATACTTTTTGTCTCATCCAAATAAGACAACACAGATACCTTATCTAGAACGTGTACCGTTCTATTTTTAATTATCCTGAGGTAAAGGTTAGAAGGTCCAACTGTTATATGGTGGGTTAATATAGCTAATTTCCAGATTGGGATGAGATTAACAAGCACATAGCATGGGCAATAATAAGACTATGATACCATTTTCGTGGAAATTATAAGAGCAATATTGTGTGTCTGACCCATAAAACCAAGCCTTATCTGGGGTTATAGATAACTTTGTTATGTTAGATAACATTTAACCATACCTGCCATAAAAATGGGGAGAGAAGAGCAGCAATAGGCTCTGGTGGAGGTTTGGGGGTTTCTTCAGGCATTACATACAGTTCAGGAGGGCAATAATCGGGATCGAGAAGGCCTCGGTTCGGAACATAGTTTTTCCCAATCCGTAGATCTGTGGCTGCTCCGAAATCTATGAGCTTGATTTGTCCCCTTTTCGTTACTACCAAGTTGGATGGTTTCACATCCCGATGGACTATCCCCGTGTCATGGATCTTTTTCAGACAAGTAATAATCTGTCTCATAATCTGCTTGATTATTAGTGCATTGCGCTTGATGGATTCCATCCCTTGTAACACACGGCCAAACATTGCAGACTCTAAGTTCAAAGGGAAGGTACGGTCCTTCATGTAATCAGCCAAGTCCTCATTTCCCTGCAACATCAATATCAATACACTTTAAGGATATGCTTAGGTCCAAGAAATGCTGGGAAAAGGAAGAGAAACTTTAGTTTTACTAGAAAACTGCAATTGTATTTTTTTTATTTGTAATCTATATTTAGATTTCTTAGTTCCTATACAACAAAATAAACTAATAACATGGGCTTAAATTATTGAGGAGTTAAACTTGCGGTCCAGCTGAGGTATTTGGCTGTGAGGGTATGTGCGCTTATAAAATATTGCACGGCTCAAAGACAACAATTTCAGAACCGCAAGGGTGTGTCTACCATTAAAAAAAAAAAGATGCACAATCCAAACGAATTGTCTTCTCGTGAGAACAACTTTTTAGAAAATAAACTCAGTTCTTAATATAAACAATTGTCGAAATAAATTTATTAGTTTGAAAAATTGCTTTGTTTTTCACATTTTCCTCATATTTTCTTTCCTTCCGATTCCATAAATATATTTTCTCTCTATTTTACTTTCCTAGAGCGTGTTGAAGTGTGTTTTTCCCTCTGAAAATTGTCTTTGAAGTACCTCAAATCTCCAGACAAGCCATTTCTCACCCTTAGTGAACTTTGAATTGGTTTTCTCAGCAATAAAGCTTCCAAGAAACTTGGCACATGTCTCTGGTGCAGCTCTTGACAGCCTGTAATTGAACCATTCTTCAAACTCACCACATTCAACCGCACCTTGAACCCCAAGTTTTACCTATATATTCAAGACTACAATAAATCAAAGTGCACCAGAATATAGGGAAAAGTGGGGATGCCTGCTTATCTTCTTTCACTTTATAGGGAAAAATGGTCGGATAGGCCCTCGAACTTACATAAAAAGGTCAAAAGGTCAATCGGGAAGGCATTCTTTAACTTTTGAGCATCTTATATACATGTCCTCATTTATATTCCTTAGCGTGTACTCTAACTGTTCATTTGGTAAGGGTTATTTGACTCAAATTATATGGCTGAATATGGTGGTTGATAAAATCCATTTCAATGAAATGAGCAAGTCAGAACTTGTAAGCGAAACCAATGTTTAGTTTTTTTTTTTAATTTCAACTGTTTTAGAAAATTTCATCATGGGGCTGAATAGGACTCGGCACCCCAAATCCCCCCAAATTCGAGTTTTTACCCAATTTTCAAAATCATGAATATTTGCACCCGAAGTTAAAAAATCTACATGTATGAGATGTTGGGTGAAAAGTTTTAAATTTTAGAGTGTAAATATTAATGATATTGAAAACATGATGCAAACTTAAATTTCGATGAAACATTAGAGTGCAAACTCCAATTCTCCTTTAATCATGCTTATAAACATTCTGCTATTCTTAGAACATCTTTCTATCATGAGTTTTAACCGTTTTTGAGAAGTTAGAAATGTTTAGCTTATGATTAATTTTCAGCATTCTGTTTTTATATAACAGCTTCAAATTTAAAGGAAATTAATCATTTACACACCAAATTTCAGCACATTTGTTCAAATAAAAATTGATTCTGATTATAATCATTAAGCTTATTTAACTGACTATTAAATCTGATTTTTCAGCTACCCTAACAGGCTAACACCCTCAGAAGCTACTTATCCTGTTTTTGTAACAAAGGAAAATCCACTAATCAAGCAAATCATTAGCCAAATGACTTAATAAAAGAAAAATTCAATAATCAACTACCTATTCTGTTAGAATGCTTAGAAAAAGTATAGTCAACTTTTGATTACCAAACGAACTTTAACTGAATACTACAATCCCAGCTTTTTAAGTTTTTATAACTTACATACCTACCTTCTTAAGGACAACCTTTTGTTTAAAACTTGAATCAATAGTCAAAGCCCTTTGACCTCCTCTTTTCTTGACTCTTTCATCAATGGTTACATTCTTTGGAGCAACCAGACCAGAATACACAACACCAAATGAACCCTCCCCTATTCTGTCCCCAACCACGAAATCACTCATCTTCAGTCTCCTCACCCCACTCAAACTGTCAATACCAGCTTGCAGAGGGGCAAGAATGTACGCATCAATGGCGCCTATGAGCACACCTGGCCTGGCAGTCAAGTATATCCAGGTCATTCCAGAAAAAAAGAGTAAACCCCATTTCTGCCCTTCGGGCAGTTCCTCGGTCACACTAAGAAATTGGGTGTACCCGGGTAGTTTAGACAGAGAAATGGGTAAATCTGAGGAGATGACTGTGAGACGATCTGAAATGTCGTCAAAGAATGCATTGAAAGAGAGGGGTTTTCTCTTGGAAAGGGGGAACAGGAAAAGGGAAGTTGATGTGGGTTTTAATGGGGAGAAAGAAATGGGTTTTGGGTGATTTTGGTTGAAGATAGTTGAAGTACCTGGGGAGAGCAAGGAAGCCATGAAAGAACCTTGTTGATCTTTTCAGTGTAACTAGCAGCTCGTCTTTCTGGGCAAGAATCAGTCTTTCACTTACTACGTATGAAATTGTCAGTAAAGGTCATATTTCTTCCACGTGGTACCCTTGGGTTTATTATCCACTCCTTCTAGGGGAAAAAACATTTTCTTTAGCAAATTATTATTCTTTTTTGGTTTAAATATGTTTTTAGTCCCTACAAATATAGTACATTTTGTTTTACATCCCTGCAAAATTAATTTTTTATTTTTCGTCCTTGCAATTTATGCTAGTTTTCGTTTTAGTCCATCACTGATGATAACAACCTTTGATTGACTTCAAAATAACCCTGACTAATACATTTCCTCTAATAATTTGTCATGTTATTAACAAAATATTTTATTTCATCTTTTTGAAGGCTTTTGATATATATTTTTAAAATGTGAATACTTAGTTTTAAATTATTTTTTTCCTCATATTAGCATCAAAAAAATTATAAAAGGACAAATTTAAATATTTCTAGTAAATCTATGCTACCTGAAATAATTTTTTTCCTAAGTAGAGTGGTTTTGAAATTTTAGAAGAATCGCAAACCGCATGACGGAATCACAACGAGTCGCTATGGATCCGCATCAAACCGCTTCACGTTACAACCGGCCGCAATAGCATCGCATCACTATTGTCGAACTTGAAATTATTTTACGCCGCACTGGCCGCAATATACATTGCAAAGGCCAGCATTAGTTGTTACTGCAATAACCGCTACGGTTACCGGAATTTAAAACCCAAATATTTACTCAATCATAATGCGGAGTATTAATTTTGATTGAGATGATGTTTATACAATGTTATTGCCAAGACTGTTTGGTATTTTGAATCTACAGGTATACACTAACTCAAAAATATGACATGGAAGGGGTTCTCTCCGCATTTCAACTAAACAATAACCCCTCACCCTTGCTCCTCTATTGAAGTATTGAACACAAAAAAACTATATGCCTAATTAAGAAAGAGAGACATCTAAGACAATTTCTTCTCATACTAAATGCCCCAACCCATAACAGCTCTCTCTTACGTAGTATTTGGTACTGGTCACCCTCCCTAGTGTTTTATGAGTTTTTTTCTAAATGATGATTTATACAAATTAAGCTCTAATAAAATTCAATAAAAGAATGGTTTGTTAAGATGTCGCCTTCAAATTTTCTGAAGTGTTCGCAAATAACCTCTTGTGTAGAATTAATTCATTCAATGAAGTAGAGAAGCAAAAAAGATCTATTAGAATGATATTGAATAATATAGAGAGATAAATCGTTTCTTCAATGTGTCGACAGAGCTTATCTCTCTAGATTATACAAAATAATACTCCGTAACTGTTACAGCTCAAAGCCAATCAGGTTGGGATACATACGCATATGCGTTGAAGTCTCAGTACTGTTCACGATAGCATCTGCTGATTTAGGAAAGTGACATTTCACTTCTTTTTATTAAATAAATGCAAATAGAAATTAAATATATAATGGGCTAATAAATGAAGACCCAATAACAAAAGAGTTATTTAAGTTACAAGACATACAATAATAAATTTTACACAATACCAGATTTCTAACAATTTTCTAATGTATTCACTCTGTCCCGGTAAGATTGTCCCATTTTACATTTTCGGGAAATCTCACTAAGATTGTCTCATACCAAATTTGGTAAAGTTTATGTGACTCTAAATCATTATTGCTTTATTTTTACTTTATCAATTTAATATCAACCACACAAACCCACTTTTCTTAATAATTGTGTCACCTTCTCTTGTTCCAATCTTAGTGGGACGGAGGTAGTATTACGTTTCACGACATGTGAACTAGTGTCACCAATGTAGTATTTTGCTACTCATTGTTAAGTTATCAATATGCCTAATCCTACTTAAGAAGGGGATTCTTATGTCGATAACCTTTTTCTTATTGTGTGTTGTCATGGTTATGTAGAAGGCGGGGTCAAATCCGTCTAAATTAGATATGTCTCTCAATTTTTAAAAAATACTTTCACCCAATCAAGTTGTATATTAACTGAGGAGCATTCTATGGTCTTAACTTGACATAAACAAATATATACAAAATCAATTAAAGTATTAATACGTGTATGTGACCCGAAAACGTGTTCAGACTAAACTTAACAAGTTAAGTTTGGAATATACTAACACATAAACGTGATAACTTATGTGTTTGTGGTTTTTTTTTGTATTTTAAGGTTATTGAATTTCATAAATTCCATATTCCCTTTGACAAATAACTCCATCTTAGTCAAATGGAAATAAGCTTCAAAGAAAAGCAAAGAATTAGGAAAGACAATGTTAATTTACACAAAATATTACCACACCACAAAAAGAATATACTTCCTCCGTTCATTTTTAATTGCAATTGGCAACATTTTACGTTTGACAACGCACGAGTTTGACCATTAATATCTCTCAATACTTATTAGTAAAAAAATTAAAAAATTCATATTTTGAAAATTTAAAATGAGAAGAATTTAACAATATTTTTTTAAAATTAAATTTGTAATACATTAATAAATAAACTATGGTCAAAGTAGAATGTGTGAATAGTGCAAACAATTCTACGTTGCAATTAAAAGAGAATGAAGGTAATATACTACGTAATAGGAAAACAAATGCAAAAAAAACAGTAGATCAAATGGGCTCAGAGAATTTTTTATTAAAAACAATCACTCCAACTAATGACTCAAAGTAAATGGGGACATTGCCCCTTTTCAGTTTCCCCCCTTCAAAAAAATAACATAAGATGCTTTGTGCTGGGCTAGCCGTTACTCGGCTCTTCCTTTTTTCAAAATTGAAATAGTGCCCTCTTCTCTACAAAAGACTTGGAAGATTTCAAAATTGAGTAGTCTCAACAATGTTAGCACAATCTCCAGTGGTCGGAAACCAGATCCAACGCCAGAAAACCGGCCGGAAGCATCTCCAGATAAGGAACACTCAGGCGAATCAAATCCCCGATGAAGCGATCAAACCCAAGCTAAAACACGACCTGCTCGACATTTCACTGTACCACATCTCAAACAAGGAAAATGTCCATCCGCTTCAGGCGGCGGCGGCGGGAAAGGGGAAGCCGCACGGTGAAATCGGACTGCGAGACTCCTCGCTGGCCGATGAGCTCAGCTCCATACGGGAGAAGCTGGAGAGGATGAGGATCGACAAACAGAGAACGGAGAAGATGCTCCGTGAGCGGGCGGCGGTGATGGATTTGCAGATGCAGGAGCTGATTAACAGAGGAGAGATTCAGAAGCAGCTCGAGCTCGAGGTCGATCGCCTTTTCCGATTGAAGGAGCTCCGGCTATCTTGTATGGTATGAATCGGCCGATTCCTTCTTCACTCAATTATCGATTATATATTGCGATTTTTCTTCACTCCTCAAACTCATGAAGGATTACTTTGCTTGACAGAGAATATCTCCTATTCGATCGCTTAGAGATAAGGAGAAAGAAAAGAAGGGGAAGGAAGATCAATTCAAGGTAAACATGTAGTTATGTGCGTTGAATTCATTCATATCATTGATGGTGTTTATTCTATCATATGATTCATATCCCTAATCTTAATACTAATTCATCCTAAAATTCTTTGACTGGTTTTTGTTTTCTAATGTTTAGAGTTACCATAATGGACTAGCTGTTTGGATAATTGGAAAGTTCTTAAATCTCAGAGAGCAATTTTAGATTGGATTAACTAAAATACTACCTCTCTAGGCTCTAGCTTCCTAGTTTAGTTTTGCTGAGTTTTGAAATCAGTTTTTTTGTTTTTACTTTTTTTTAATTCTCTTTTTATTGAAGCCAAATATCAATAGAGGATAGTTTTTTGGCCCCTATTATTACTTAGGGGGAATTTCTTTAAAAGGAGTACATCAACTTGAAATAGAGACAAAATTAGTAATTATTAAGCACATAGTAGTTTGGGGCTTAAGCATTTTTCTTCCCAAAACATGACTTTTTTAAAGGTCCCAAAACGGCAAAACATGACATCTTCACTCATAGTTTGGGAAGTTCTTTAATATTTATATTTTTAATATAACTAAATAAGTTCTACTTTGTGAATTAACATATATTTAATCACATCTTTTAATTTTATCCATATTTTATTCTTAAGTTAAGCAATTTCTTAATTAAATGTACATGACTATATCATCTTAATTACTTTGAACAATCATTTGATCAAATTAAGAGGTGCAATAATTACTCTTTAACACAATTAGACAAACGTTTATTTATAGAATTATTATTGACAGGACATGGAAGAAATTGAAAATGAGGAAGGATCACAGGGTAGAATTGCACCATCAAGCCCAAGTTCAGATCTTGATACAGAGGAATGAAATGAAAAAGATCTGGAAGAAAGATATCAAGCGACTCAATGTTGTTCTTGGATTCTTGATGGAGTGGGAAATGAAAAGAAACATACACAATATCTTGTTGTACATGATTTTATTGAACAGAAAGAGCACAACTTTTGTTCCCTTTAATATTACAAATAGGTGGAGAGACTTTCATTGTATAAGTATCAATTTGTGGTTTGGTGGCATTTACATTTTCGATTGCGTACTAGTAAAGTCCTATTTGGAATGGGTTTTTATTCTTACTCCCTCCGTCCCATTTATACTGTCCCAGTTCCTATTTACTTGGTCAACACAAATCACTCTTAATTTCTTACTTTATATATCAAAAATTTATCAAATTTGATTCAGGTTTTTGCGGCTTTGTAAAATTTTAAATGTAGTTTCTGAATATGTAATTTTTTTTCCTAAAAATAATTTGAATGCGGACAGGGATTTGTTTGCTTTATCGTCGGTCAAACATCGTAAACCGTAAAGAGACAATATAAATGGGACGGAGATAGTACAATTTTGCGAAGGGAATTAACAGTAAATAATACTTCCTCCGTCCCGCAATTAACTTCCGTGTTTGACTTCACAGGGATTTTAGGTAGAAAAAATAAAAGTTGACTTTCCAAGAGTAACCTTGCATAATTAATAAAGAGAAATAGTGGTCCAAATTAATTAAAGAGGGTAAATGAGTAGTAAAAGTAAATCATAAATGAGTACTTTGAAAGTGAAAACTTACCATAAGTAGAAATAAAGTGAAATAGAAAGTTAACTTTGGCACATCTCAAGAAGGAAATGTGAAAGTTAATTTCGGAACGGAGGGACTATGTAGCAGCCAACTACCGCAGAGTACTACTCATACATAAATAATACTTCGTAATACATATTTTGAAAATAATTTCTAAAAATATCATTACTTGGATATATAACAAAAATAATATGAGCCACTTTTAGACTAGAAGTCTAGCCATCTAAAATATCAAAATTTATATCAAATCATCAAATAAAAGTCATTTTGAAATGATGTCATTTATTTGATATTTTGATATTAGTTCTCAATGAATTAAATGACATAATTTCTATTTTTTAAAGTATGACTAAATTTTTGTTGATAAGTAGATATGTATCACTTTTTGTTATATTTAAATAGTTGATATTATTAAATATTATTTCTAATGTACAAAATATTCTTAGTTAATGAGTGGTGGTGGTTATAATTTAAAGCTAGAGAAAATTCTTTAAATAAAACTAAAACATAGACAAAGTGTACAAATATGACTATCATTACTATTTTTTAAAATATGACTCATTTACTCTTAAATAGTGAAGTTTTATACTTTTAATAGGATCAAGTTAGACATACTTTGGTAATATAACATCTTTAGCCATATTTGTGCATTTATGTATGTTTTAGTTTTATTTGAAGCAATTTCTTTCAGAGTTAGTTTCCATTTTAAGAATTATATATTATATATATGCTCTGCAGTATAAACTATAAATACTTCGATCATGTTAATTTTAGTAATTATCATCAGAAAATATAATTTAATTTTTCCCATATTTTGAATTTTAATACTATGTATTTGTTAGTTTTTTTTATCGTAAGGCGCTTATATCATTAAAATAGCAATCAGCAGGAGTACAAGAACATGAAAGGGCCGCATGTAACCATCCGCCCATGGCCGAGACTCTGAGCTAATCACCTTAAACAAAGCAATATAACTCGCTAGACCGAATTTGGGCAAATTAAAGCTAACGACGCCTACCGCAGACCTTTCAACCTCCAAACCTAATGCAAGAGTTTCACAATAAGCAAAAGAATAAAAACAAAACAAAACGGACAATCCATGGAAATAAAACCTAAGACAGAGAAAGAAATAAACTCCAACACTCGAAATCTTAATCAAAACCATCCACTGCAAAACCGGCTGGTCTAGGAGATCTGACCCGCCGCCTCCCCATTTTTTGGCCCATCAAGCGTCATGTCTTCATCCCCTGAAATCTCTTTAAGCTTGTCCTCCCATATTCTCCTGCGCTTAGTCTCTCCTGGTTCTCCTTCCATATCAGCCGCTCCTTGGTTTGATGCCTATGTATTTGTTAGTTGAAAACTTATAATTTATGCCAAATGGATGTGATAATAGAAAATAGTATACTACGTACAAGTATTTGATAAGCGTTAGTGGTCCAAGGGGACCATCCCCCACACTCGAGACCCTCCTTATGTGGGAGATCTTAGTTCAAATTACTGAGAAGAATTTCTTAAATGGGAAATGATATAAGTACAAATAAATTTAAATTACAAACAAAGTATGTGCATATTGTAAGATTCAATGTTTTTTATTCCCTAAATAGGAATAAACATTGGCTTTCTACTCCAAATATAATTAAGGATCCTATAATTGATTAGTAATTTAGTACAATCAATTGTCCTCATGATTCCATGCAGTAACGGATTTAGCATTCTCATTTTGGAGTCCGATTTTGTTCACCCCCACTAAGGAGGGTGAACATCACCCTCACCCTTTAATGCATGCCATTTGGCATTACATTTCTTTTTTTCCTTAAATTTATTATAACTTTTTAATTTCTAATCTAATTTTCACAAAAAAATATATCAGATTTAATAACCCTTTATGATCTTTCCAATGATATCCATATTACATACAAAAAAATTAAACAAAAAATTTTCTTAAGTCTATTTTTAACGGTTTTTTTTTAAATTTTACATATGTAATATTGATACCATATGAAAGATCATAAAAATTAAAAATATTGATATATTTTTTGAAAAAAATTGAACCAAAAATGAAAAAGTTATAACAATTGCCAAATTCTAAAGAATTGCCATGCCATGTGGCAGCCTAATAGGGTGGGGGTGATGTTCACCCTCATTTGAGGGGGTGAACAAAATTGTTCTCCTCATTTTGGGTGTTCAAAAGCTTTTAAAATTAAAACTTTAGTGAACACTAAATAATGATATTAAATTTATTGGTGTATATTTTTACATTTTTTAAAACTTTGAGTGTTCAAGGGAACACTTTGGATCAATAGTAGATCCGCCTGTGATTCCTTGCATAATCTAGGTTAGTCCGTTGGTGGCAGAACAGTCTGATAGCGGCGGCAGACCGATGGCGGCAGATTTTTGGCTATAGGCAACAGAGCTTTGATGACCGGCAGCAGGTGGTGGCAGTCCAAATACTTGCATTTGTAACATATATTTACTCCTATTTGGAAAATTTAAAACAACAAGTCCATTTTTTTGCATTTGTAACATTTTTAATCCTATTTAGAGAATTCACTCTATTTTAATTAGATTATTTTCAGTGACAGTTTAGATCAGACAAGGGTGGAGTTAGACAATAATAAATTACGCATACACCAAACGTTTATCGGTTCAGATCAGATCACACTGTTTTTTTGAAAGGTCAGGCCACACTTAAATAGTCACACAAAATTTGAAAATTTAAGTATAGTCATATAAAATGAAAGTACTTTTGCTTCATTTAGGCAACATTTTCTATTTGTGTACAAAACTTTCAAATTGAGTGGCTTGCAAGTCTCTTGAAAGCCTATGTGGGTACCCAAACCCACCCAAATGATGGGTCTTCAAAGTTCAAACAAACATTTGATATCATATTATATGTAAACGTCAAATAATATCTCTCTGTCATATCGGTTATTGTAAAGCAAGAATCAAATGGTAAACGTGGCTTGTGTCATTGTCAGTATAGTTGAGGTTTAACACCAACCCCGAATGTAATATTAATTTTGTGTATTATCCCCTTTTGATTTTAAAAATGTGGCAAGTCCTCCTATATTATGATTAACCATGCACAAAATCCCTCCAAAAGCAAATTTTACAGTTTTGGAGTTGCTTGTGTTAATACTATGATTGAATATGCAAGCCAATTTATCAAGATCTCTAAACTACACAAAAATTCAAAAAAAAAACTCCTATCGAGCAATCGCGACAGAGATGTTTGACGCATTTTTAAATCACAAAAGGCTAATGTGCATATAATTATATACGGAAATTGTCCTAAATAGGACTAAAAAGTTCCTAAAAAGCACAAATAGGACTACTATTTTTAAAATTCCCTAAATAGGACTAAACATTGATTTTCTACCCTAAATACCCCTAAGAGTATTAATTCATAATGAAATGCTTTAATTCATAATAAAATCACAAAAAACGTAAAAAAATATTTAAAAAACGTAAAAAAATTCAAAAAAATTTATAAAACATTTATAAAATAAAAAATTTAATTTTTTGTTTTTTTAATTTTTTAAAAAAAATAATAAAAAATAGTAAAAACCCATAAAAAATGAAAAAAATTATGGATACCTTTCTCACCGCCTCCCGCCGCCTCCCAGCACCACCACCTCCGATTGGTGAAATTTCTTCCACTTTTGGTAAAAAAATGCCATATTTTTCTGAAAATGCCAAAAAGATGGCATAATTACTCTTCAATATGCCAACATTTTCATTGATTATGCCATCATTATGGCATTATTTAAAATGTTGGCATATTTTTGTCCGGTGATGGGAGATGGTGGTGTTGGGGGTGGCAGGGGTGGTAATGTGTTTTTTTTTAATTTTATGATTTTTTTATTTATTTTTTATTTTTTTTTAAAAAAAATATTTTTTATTTTTTTTAAAAAAATATTTTTATTAATTTTCTATTATTTTTTTTACGATTTTTAGTATTTTTTTCGATTTTTATTAATTTGTTTATGATTTTATTATTAATTAAAAAATTTCACAAGTTACAAGGGTATATTTGTCCAAACACATATAAATAGTCCTATTAAGGGAATTTAAAAAATGTAGTCCTATTTGTGCAATTTTTCCACTTTTTAGTCCTATTTGGAAAGGGGTTTGGCACATTAAATCATATTATTAAAGCACCGAGTTATTGTTACTTATCTATTTGTTTTACTCTTTTCATGCCTTATAACTTTGTCATCTTTCACGTTTTTATTGACCAAACACCTTTGACACTTTCACTATTAATCAATTAATTCGTGATTTCTGTTATTTTTTCTCCTCTATAAAAACCTCAAGCACATAGATTTACTTTAATATTTTCCTTGCGATCAAACTTGGCCAAATTCCAAAAAACGAAGGGAATAATTAGGGATGGCAACGGGGCGGATCGGGGACGGTTTGACATATAACTGTACCCGCCCCGTTGGGTAATTCCCCCGCCCCGTAACCGCCCCGTTACCCAACGGGTATTTTTTTCTCAAACCATAACCGCCCCAACGGGTAACAGGTATAATTGCGGGTAACCGCGGGTAATCGTTTTATTAAATGAGTCATTGATATTTTAATATAATAAAATACAGAGTAGTATTTTAAAAGGCAAAAAATGGCACTGCCTTGACGACTTTAGATTCAGATGTCACTTTGAAGTTTCGTATGGCTACAAGACGAGAAAGAAGACAATGTAAACTAATTTGAATCTAAAAATACTTAATCTCATATATAATTAATTGCGAAAAAATCTGATAGTAACCAAACAAGACTATTAAAATCTATTATGAACTTTCATTCATTCATTAGAGTTTTTTTTTACTGAATTCATACATTATAGTTAATACATCTATTATCCATGTATACACAATGAAAATAGAAAAATATCATCTTTTAGTAGTTATGAGACAAATAATAAATACAAATGTAATAAAAATATAACTAAAAATAAACGGGGCGGATACGGGGCGGGTAATGGGGCGGGCATGTATAAAACCGTAACCGCCCCGTTACCCGTAAAAACAAAACGGGTATTCCCCGCCCCATACCCGTTACCCGGTCAATGCGGTTTTCCCCGTTTTGACCGGGGCGGTTTGGTTCGGGTATCCATCGGATCGGTCACAATTGCCATCCCTAGGAATAATTTAAGAAATATGAATTATAATCTCAATGTGACTCTCACCCGCCCTTGCCCCACTGCCACCATTGTAGCCGAGGCCACTAACAGTCACAATGGCATGCTCCCCAACTACACTGACACCAGTGACGATGACAATGCCGTGAAACTTGTAATGGTATAATAAATTTACAGTAATAAAAATATGATCATTATATTAACATATATAATAAATTAATCGTGACATTCATACATTTCTTGTTTTATTACTTTAGTAGGCACATTTATTATGGGAAAATTCCCGAAACAGGACTAAAACAGTTTAAAAATTCCAAAATAGGACTGTCATGTTTTTTAACCCAAAATAGGAGTAATTACTGCCAAGTTTGGAAAATACTGCCATGTTTGAAGTCTGGTACTGCCAAAACATGACAGTAATTAGTCCTATTTTGGAAATAAAAACATGTCAGTCTTATTTTGGAATTTCCAAACCTTTTTAGTCCTATTTTGGTTAAATTCTCATTTTTTATCCAAAGGTAAAAGTAATCTCATTGTAAGAAATGAATTGTTTCATTATAGTAATATTTAACAAAACACTTATTAAATTATATATAGTCTATTATAATATAAAATTGTTCTACCAAGACAAAAAATATAATTGCTTCTCGGCTGATATTAATATGTATTACTACTAGTAGAAAATTTATAGTCTTCTATGAATAGCTTTCTAGTAAAGTGAAGTTTAATGTGTTAATTTTTTTTAAAATATAATGCAGAAGGCAAAATTCTTGTTCCATAATCTCATATATAATTTTCTTAATTGAAAAAAATCAAAATGAACACTATTTGAATGTGGTCCTAGAGAGCTTCTTTCTTATGTTCTCCAGATAAAAAAATTGGAGTTCAAAACACATTCAAGAGTCCCAATAATTGCATGCCTACAATATGTAATTCATTTTTTAAAGCACCCCATGTCCCAATCAAATAGCATGCAATTGTTTTCACATACATATATATTTCGTTATACAACAATCCCAGTTCACTGATCATTTACTTAGGGAGTGTTTGCAACTACTTCTGCTTAAAAAAGCACTTTTGGAGTGATTTGGAAAAAGTGATTAGTAGTAAAAGTTGATAGTGTTTGGTAAAATAAATGTTTTTTGTGTGTTAGAAAAGGGAAAATCACTTTTCACAC